ACAATCACGAAACTACTGTCAAGACTTCTAATCAATAAGTTATTGAATAAGTTGGATTTCCCCACAGTTTTTACGCCTTTTTGCAAATATGCAAATGCGAAAACGCACACTGCGATGACCCCGGTGTGTATGTTTGTTCATCCAGGTATTTCAACTCGGCACCCAAGCAAGCTCCAACGCCAGAATTTTACAGTGGGTTTCCCGGCCAAGTGCCACCCCGAAGAACTGCGGCACTAACTGTCAAGCAAGTCTGGGCCCCGCGTATGAGAGGGTGAAAGTTTTGGCGGGGAAATGCTAGAAAGCTGAAATTATGAGATTATGCCGCCCGTCCACCTGGGACTCAAAGATTTCAAGTTCAGTCCCCATGGGTGCGTAGTTCCCGTGTACGATCCCTGGAGGGTTTCTGGCGTAAAAATCGCTAATTTGGGGAGCCAGGAAAGCGGGAAGGCTGAAATTTTAAAGGGATGTTCCCAACCTATGTAAAACTTAAAGTTAGCAAATTCAGTTCCCGGGCATGCGTGGTTTTCACGTACGGCCCGCAAACTTTTTTGGCGGGAAAATGGTTAACTTCGGAACCAGGAAAACCGGGAACTGGAATTTTCAGAGAATGTCCCCAGCTCATCTACAGCTTTATCAAGTTCAGTCCTTGGGCAAGCGTATTGCCATGTACGACCCCGTGATTCGCGGGAAAATAGCGAACTCCGGAACCAGAAAGGCTGGGGAGCTGAAACTTCCAGAGAATGTTCTCAAACTTCCGGAGAATGTTCTCAGCTTATGTACAACCTAAACATCAAGTTTAGCCCCGGGCATGCGCGTTTGCCACGTGCGGCCCCATTTTTGGCGGGGATATGGGTAACTCAAGAACTGGGAAACTGGGGGTCTGAGATTTTAAGGGAATGTTGCCACTTTGTTATAGCACGAAAGAGTGCAAAAACGCATGATCGCACCGGCACGCCTGGTGTGCTCCAGCCTGGGTTTCCCTTCAACAGGAGTGCTTCGTTTCGTTTTTTTTTTTTTTTTTGATAACATTAAGAGCGTGGGTGCTTTAGGAATGGGTACATGAGGCGCA